AAAGTAAGCTAAATTACAACTACAACAGATTTGTACTTGTGACTAAGTGGACTCCTAATTTTATCAGTAATTATTATAAATAAACATTACTTAATAGACTTCTCTATTATAGTTATATAATAGCTATAATAGTGGGTAGGTTTCAAATATACTTAGAAAAACATTCGTTTGCCTTTTAAATACCAATTTTATTTTATTTTATTTTTTTTGGTTTTTCGAGACAGGGTTTCTCTGTGGCTTTGGAGCCTGTCCTGGAACTAGCTCTGAAGACCAGGCTGGTCTCGAACTCACAGAGATCCGCCTGCCTCTGCCTCCGGAGTGCTGGGATTAAAGGCGTGCGCCACCATCGCCCTGCTAAATACCAATTTTAATGTTCTGTTTTTTGTACCTTTTTTAAAAGGGGACCCATAAGAAAATATTCTATAAGGAATAGGGTCAGGAAAGGTTTGTTCTAGCTTTAGAGTGAAGGTCCTTTACTTTGTCAGTGTCCTTTAGCAGTTTCTTACAGATTGAAACATTCTATCCTGCAGGTAATTTTTTTTTTTTTTTTTAAGACAGAAACCTTGTTTCTGCAGTTCTGATGCTGTCCTGGAACTCACTATGTCTGGATCAGGCTGGCTTTGAACTCACAGAGATCAGCTTGCTTGTTTCCTAGCTGCTGAGAGTAAAGATATCCAGTTTAAAGTTTGTGATTGGCTGTTGTTCTTTATGTGTATGGGTGTTTTGGTCACTTGTCTGTGCACCATGTACATGCATTGTCCATAGAAGACAGAAGAGGGCAGCAGATCTCACGGAACTGAAGGTACAGAAGGTTGTGTGCTACCTTATGGGTTCAGGGGAATTGAACCCTGGTCCTCTGGAAGAACAGTATTTGTAACCACCAATCTATCTCTCCAGTTCTGCCTGTAAACTCCTTAAAACAAAAGGTAAACAACTCAATATGGCTTCAGAAAGGAAATCTCTGAAACTGACCATATTTACTGGGCCCTCAGTCCCAAGAGTAAAGACTGCTGAGGGTCACTCTCAGACAAGCCAAGCTTCAAAGATTCTTGCGACCAGACCGGCTGCTTGAAGAAGCAGAAATCAGAAGAGCTGCCTGGAAGAGGTTTAGACCAGCTGAGGTACCTGGGAATTACACTCTCTGTTGAGCTGCCTGGAGTCTGTGCAGTGTGCTCCAGGTTCCCAGCTTTGTGACCTGCCACCATGCTTCAGTGGGCTTTGGTGATGCAGCTGTCTTTGAGTCATTTCTGTATCCCTTACCTGTATTCCTGTAAATGACTCCTATCAAATTCACTAGGTCACCAATTATGCTTCGGTGGTATTGTAGGGTAAAAGGGACAACTGGAGCAGGAAACCAGCCAATCATTGAGCACCCTGACTCTGAACCCAGAGTCAAAGAAAGAAACACACCCTATATTTGAGACCTAGGCCAGGGATAGAAACACCTTTATCCATGAAACATCTTTATACCCAGAACTAAAGACATGTGCCCTGGCTCTGAAACTGGTGTCAAAGAAACACAAATTGTCCCTAGAATCAGCCAGTGAAAGAAATGTGCCCCGGTCCTAAGATTAGAGTTAAAAAGCTAAAAAGGACCAGTGAAATAAACACAGTTTGGCCATGAAGTCAGAGTCATCTCTGCCCCTGACCAGCTAAACTGACCAATCTCTGAGCAGGAAAGAAATAACCAATCCCCCTTCTTTCTGGGAAAACTCCGCCCCTAAGAAGCCCTATATAAGCAAGCGTCTCTATTCCCCTCACTTAAGAGCTGCCGTTAATCCCTTCAAGGCAGACACTCTTCTCAATTCCTCCTTCCCAAATAAATCTCTTTCTCAAAAGAGTCTTGGGTGACGACCTTAATTTGCTGGTGCAGAGCAGAAGAACCTGGCTGGGGCGTCCCTTAGAGAGCTGAGCTGAAAAACTTTGCTGAGATGCTCCCTAGGGGGCCTCAGCAAGGCTGAACAGAACAGAAGGAACCTTGCTAGGATGCTCCTTAAGGGGGGCTGAGCAAGGCCAGGCAGGGAAAACTAACAACTTTTCCCGAAGCTGAAGAGAGAGCTACATTTCTGCAAGGGCTTTCCCTTTAGCAGCGAGTTAGCAAAAGAAGAAACATCTTGGGCTGGAGAAGCAGATAGCTCTGCTAGAACGTTCCCTTAAGGGAACAGAGCAGAACTCAGCTGTAATGACTCTCTAGGAGAAGAGTAGGATCCCTATATCCTGCAGGGAGACCATTCCCCCACCGCACCCCAGCCTCAGGTAGCCTGGCTTCCTGATAGTCAGGACACCTTTACTCCAGGGCTGAGCTGTCCTATTGCGTCTCTACACTGACCCCCTCCCCAGAGCTGTCCTATGGTGGCTCTACCTCCCCCAGAGCTGTCCTACTGCAGTTCTAATCCCTTCCCCCAGAGCTGTCCTATTGTGGCCCTAAGTATATGCCGGCTTCCTGATAAGTCACGGTATCCCTGCAACACTACTGTAACACATTCCCCTACAGGCATCCATACTTGGGCCAGCCATGGGCTCTCTATCTGGGTTGACTGCACGTGTGTTGTATCTCACCAGGAAAAGTCTTGTCACACAGCAATCAGAAGTTAAATTTCATCAGCTGACAAACAACTTTATACCTTTAGTCTTCCTCTGTAACCATAGCATGCCTATGGCAATCGGGAGGTAGGCACAGGAGGGCTGCCAGGAAACTCTCAGTCAGCTTTGTCTGGAGTACAAACTTAACAGCAGAAACAAGGAAGGCACCACCCCAACAGGGTGGAAGGTGAAACTGACTTGACAAAGTCCAATGACCTCCACATGCAGGCTGTAGCATTTATACACACTACAGAAATAATCTTTAAAATGTGCTTGATAACCTTACAGGATTATCTACAGATATTTCACGCTTTCAACTTATAGAATCATATAATCAGCCAGGCATATAAATACGTGTGTGCACTAACGTTCCATGGTTGAGAATAGTCTACCAACATTAAAAAGTGACTGGTTTTTCCCATAACATCTGTGTCGCTGTTGTACCAGTGGGCATATCTTGCAGGCAGGTTGCTATTGTAGCTCTCAGGTTTATAGCTGGTGAGATTGATGGTTACTTTTTTCCTCCAATAATAGGTGTAGTACTTAAGTCACGGGAGTAAGGCACCAGCTCAATTTCTCCATGGTCAATTGCAAAGTAAGTGATGTTTTCATCAATAGAGCCTCACCATCAGGCTATAGAGAGTAACCAAGAGCCTTGGCAAAGCCTATGATATTTGGGGTGTGTCTATGGGACCCCTTTGGCCAACATCTCAAAGAATATGTAACCTATTCCTGTCATTGAGGAATTTATTTGGTGGCATATGATATCTACTCGAGGTGTTGTCTCTTCCACTATATGGTAAACCCTATTTTAACTACTTTTATAATATGTACATTTTAGGAAGCTTCTATAGTAATAGGTTTCACATGACTTCAAAAGTTAGTGTTTGTTGTCCCTCCCCATATTACCCTCCTCTTCTGCTCATTTCATATAACTGTTCTTTTTTTTCATTTTTTTGTTTTAATTCCATTTTCCCTTTACCACACTATATTGTTTCCCTCTTCTTATTCTCTAATATGTGCCTAACCTTTCTGGTCATTCTGATTGAAGCACATATATTTAAAGCTTAAACCCTACACATAAAGCAGATAATGTCTATCTTTCTGGGTCTGGGTTCCTTCAGTTTAGAATGATTGTCTCTAGCACTATGCATTTACCTAAACATTTTATTTTTCTTATCAGCTGAATAATATTCCATTGTGTAAATCTACTACATTTTTGCTAGCCATTCATCAGTAGATAAACATCTAAACTGTTCCCAATTTCTAGCTTTATGAATAAAATAGAAATGAACATGAAAGAACAAGTATCCCATGGAACTCATACCTGACACTTAATGAGAACCTAGGAATAGATAGTTCCTGGGCCCTAGGGAGAAACTACTAATATTCTACTAAAGGACCATAGCAATAGAATAACTTGTAAGACATAGTGCTATACCCACAGATCAGAGCATTGCTCAACCCTCATTAAAGAAGCTGCTTGCAGTGGACTGTAATTAACACAGAAGTCCACAACTGGACAACGTGCAGAGTTTTTGGAGCACTCAGCATCAAATGGACATCATCATCAAACACACTCTCTTCAAGGCTCAGGGGTCTATTCAAAAGAAAAGGCAGAAAAGTTGTAAAAAACAGATGATGGTTGACTCCAAGGAAATAACTTCTTCCAGACACAAGGCTGATGCACATGTGAATTTAGAGACTGTTGACACAAGACCTGCACAAGCCTAAGCCAGACAAAATCCCAGAAAGAGAGAAATAAAGTCATTCCCACTCATAACCAGGAAGCTATTTGCAATTGGTAGTTGCTGGGAGAGAGAAAAAAGCAAAAACACTTTTCTTCAAGGAAGTATATAAAACTGGGTACATTAACTGCACCTCACTACAGGCCTCATGATCAGGAGTATTTGACCAATAAAACTGAAACCCATTCTTTGTGTGTGTGTGTGTGCATGTGTGTGCTTTGGCTTGTTTTGGCTTTTTAAGAGAAAGAAAGAGTATAAAGTTGGGTGGACGTTGGGGGGTAGGATCTGGGAGGAGTTGGGGGAGGGTAGAGCATATAATCACAATATAATGTATAAAAAAAGAGCAAAGATGCCGGGCGATGGTGGCGCACGCCTTTAATCCCAGCACTTGGGAGGCAGAGGCAGGCGGATCTCTGTGAGTTCGAGACCAGCCTGGTCTATAGAGCTAGTTCCAGGACAGGCTCCAAAGCCACAGAGAAACACTGTCTCAAAAAAAAAAAAAAAAAAAAGAGCAAAGATATAGACTGATGAAATTGAAAATATTTTTATGCAAGATAAACAATTTTTTTCTTGATATGCAGCTTAGATTCTGTATTTCTATACAACTGGACAAATAAGAACAAGACATAACAACTGCTTCTAAAAGTAAAACTTCAACATCAGCTGATTTTTGTTTATTTTATTTACAATATATAAATTGTTAGTATACAAAAGTGTGTTTTAATACATTTATTTCTCACAATTTTTCTCAGAATGTTTTGGAAACTAGAAAGTGAACACAAGTATTCTGTGGGATTATGTTCAAAACATGGCAGATTTTTATAGAGAATCAGTCTACCATACAATATGTATGTTCAGGACAGAAATAAGCACTATAAAATGTATAAAAACACATTTAAAAATACAAATACAGTATGTTTTAGTTGGAATTTTAAAGATGCTTTTTCTTCTTCTCTTTCCCTTTTACCTCAAAAGTAATAAACACTTTTGAAGCTGCATGCATTGTTGCACTTTTGATTTTTTGCTGTACAGTTAATGAACCCGGCAGTCTGGATATCTGATGATCATCGATTTGACCTTCCCATTCTTTGGTTTCTTCTTCTTTGATTAGTAAAGGTTTTCCCAGAGTTTGGCCAACAAGGTCACAGACTTCTTGAGCTTTGCGCCATGCATTCTCAACAGCAACAAGACAGGCTTGCCGCCTTAGGGATTGAAAGTAAAGATTACTATGACATTAAAAGAACTGCCACACTCAATAGTTTTATTTAGAATGAATAATTTAAAGATGTACTTAACTTACCGAAGATTCTCAATGGAACCAGAAGTGTGATAGAACTCAGGTGGGCTGATGACAACAGAGCTATCTAGCTTTTCAACCAGAAAGTTACAAATATTTTGCATTTTTCCAAATTCAGTAAATGTAATGCAGACCTGTAAGTGAAATATACTTGAAGTTATTTCCATGCTTCATGTAGGTTTAAAATTTTGTCTAAATAGGAGTATAAAAAGTAAAGTCAAGCTGGTGTAGTAGTGCACGCTGCTAATCCCAGCACTTGGGAGGCAGAGGCAGGCGGATCTCTGTGAGTTCGAGACCAGCCTGGTCTACAAGAGCTAGTTCCAGGACCGGCTCCAAAACCGCAGAGAAACCCTGTCTCGAAAAACCAAAAAAAAAAAAAAAACTTTATCATTTTACATTGCCATTGGCAATGCACAAGGTTCTAACTTCTCCACCTCCTGGCCTAACACTGTGTTTTGCTGCTTTGATAATAATCACAAACAGGTGTGATTCTATAATTCATTGTGGTTTTGAGTTCTATTTCTCTGAAAATTAGAGATGCTGAATGCCTTCGCCTATCTGTTGGTGCATTTTGATAAGTATCCATTCAAACCATCTATAAATTTTAAAATCATATTACATGTTTTTGTGCTATTGTTGTTTTACACATCTAACTACCATTTAACCATATTACATATATCTAGTAGTCCATGAGAAGACTAGAATATGTTAGATATTTATTGGCTTTCGGAGTTTGCTACATTCGTAGCCATAAAATCAGCCATCTTTTCTTTTTCACTTTGTACCTTGTGAGTGTGTTATCATGATCTCCACTGACAACTGGTGATGATCTAAAAGCAACCATGTACAGGGATGTACAGTATAGTGTAAGGTCTGGATTCCAGGGAGTCCTAAGTGAAATATAATCACATGTTTTCTTATGAAATCAGAATACGCAATACTGAAAAGGAAGAACAGAGTTTGGCTCAGTTCTCATACAGTCAAGGTAGTGAGGGAGAATTGTCTGTATTCTGTCAATCATGTATTTTAATAAAACGCTGATTGGCCAGGCAGGAAGTATAGGCGGGGTGATGAGAACAGGAGAATGCTGGAAAGGAGGAAGCCCATTCCTCCCACTCCTGGGCATTCCACCCAAGAAGCAGGATGTAATCTACCTGGCTGAGAAAAATACCGAGCCATGTGGCTAACATAGATAAGAACAATGGGTTAATATAAGCTACAAGAGCTAATAAGTAGCCTGAGCTAATGGGCCAATCCGTTTTATAACTTATGGAGATCTCTGTGTGATTTTCTTTGGGACTTGCCTATTGTGGGGTACTGGGCGGGAAAGAAACCCCAACAAGCTGGCCCTCATGTTACACAAGGACTCTTGCTGAACTGGGAACTTTAATCTTAGAACTCTGCAGTCTCCCATCCCTTGTTCAGTTCTGGAACTATCTCTTCCCTGTGCTCTTGGTGATACTTTATAATAATAAACTAAGCACACCTGGAAGTGATGGTGCTAGACTATAATCCCAGCACTCAGGAAACTGACATAGGAAAAACATAAATTTGAGGCTAGTGCGGGCTACATATTGAGACACTGCCTAAAAACAAACAAAAACAAAAAAATACCTTCCTAACTAGGATTCTCCCACATTCATTACAGCCTGAAGTCCTAACAGGTAAAACCCTTAGAGGGACCCACTAATCTACTAACATTAAACCTCTACAATTCAGAATCTTGCCTGACCACTCTTCATTCTGTCAAAATAATCTATGCCAAATGATAATTATAAGAATAATTATAAATTTCCTTGCGACAGTTAAATTTAGATGGACTAGTCACAAGGCTAACTGAGTCACCTTTCCAATGTCCATTCTGTCCTGCTACTCTGATCTTAAGCTTCATCTCTGAGAAGCAGGAGCCTTAATATTAATCTAACCTTAATATTAATACCAGGATGCACTAACATACTAACTACAGGGGGCTACCAGGTGACTTCCGGAGGTGTTCTCCACCTCTAGAGAGAAAGATTCTCTCACTGGTAGACAAAATTCCACTCTTACTTAACTCACTCATCTTTGTTTCCAAAAGCAAGGTGGGGAGCTGGATAAAGCATCTGTCTGATAACACGAAAGTCACAAACAGAAGTCTTACATTACATTACTAGACACACTGCCCTAAAACCCCACCCGCCCCATCCCTCAGAGGGATCCATGCTGGGATCTCAGTTATCAAGGACTGAGCACTCTGAAAACACTGTGCTCCTTCTTAATGTGGACAGAGACCGCACGATTCAGAATTTAAGTAACATACATCTCAGTGGCCATGAAATTACAGCTTTATCACATAGTTTCTAATCTAAGGAAAATTTCTTTCCTGAAATGATTCCTGCTCACCAGCTGGTAAAATTACAAAAAGTCTGTGGTACCTAGCTGCTATTTCCCTGTTGCTGTGTTTATTTCATTGTATGCCATTTCCCTTAAGGTAGATCTCACTAAATGTATTTGAAAGCATCACCAGATGTACATGATCAGAACCATTTTTAAGAAAAACCATCTTTTATCATCACCATAAAAATCCTTTCTCTGGTAAATTTCAGTTTAAGAGTAAAACTTGATTGCAGTTGCCGCCGCAGAGTCAAGGGCTTTCAGCCGTCACATACCTCGGCTTCCATGTGATAAGCATTTTCTACTCTTCTAATATCCTTTGTCACTGTTACATTTTCTGCCTGAAACAGAAACAGTACCAGAGTAATGTTACCAAACCTTTGGCTACTAAATTCAGTTGTTTCTGCCTGACAATTAAGAAGCCTGAGTTTGAAATAGGAAGACACACAGTACACAAAATGAACTGCCTGCCTTGATGTTCCAAACTTCCTTAAAACTGCCATAAAATCAATCAGAACCTACAAATACTGTTAAAAAAAATGATCCGTTTTCACTTCAGGTTTTAGTCATTTGTACAGAAAGAATGAACTAACTTGACAAAGTACCTACCATATGTACCTTTGGGTAAGTTACTAAGAATCTCTTGAGCCTTTGCTTCCACATGTATAAAATCAGGTCAATAGACCACATGGCTGATATGATGATTTAAAAACAAGTTGTATGTAAAGTACTTAGAGAGTAATGACAAAAGACATTTGCAGAACCTATAATATTACAGCAGAGAATTCCACTATGCCTTCCTTGACACAATGTACTTCTCAAACTATGATCCAAAGTAAAAATAGGAAGGAAAGGAGGGAGGGAGGGAGGAAGGGAGGGAGGGAGGGAGGGAGGAAGGAAGGAAGGAAGGAAGGAAAGAAGGAAAGAAAGAAGGAAGGAAGGAAGGAAGGATAAAGAAAGATCCCACAACCAATAAATATATGACCAGATTGTCCCTGAATCTTCCCACAGATATGTAAGCAAGCTAAGCAGTCCTCCCGTCTGGGAAGCAGGTCCTGAGTAAATGAGTATATCTGACATGTGTAGCATGCATCCTAACAATACAACCCACAGTCAGATATAAGGGTTAATGCTGAAGGTCAGAGAGGAAGAGCGGCCAGTCACTAGTTCTTACTTTTACTGAATCCTCAGACTGAAATGGGTATCCTGTCTCTACAAGTCCTCAGACTGAGTGTTGTCTCTACGGAACCTCAGACTGCCTCTAAGCTCCTGTCTCCTCCTGCCTCATATTCCTCTCTCCACCTCCTAGCCAGAGCGCTCCTGTGCTAACAGGAGTATATGAGTTTGTTATGTTTGATTAAAGGCGTGTGATCTCAAGTGCTGAGATCACCTTTGTGTGAGCTGTTCCTCCTTTGGACAGATTCAAGCTCATGTAGCCCAGGGTGACCCTGAACTCACAGAGATTCGTCACCTCTATCTCGTGAGTGCCACTACTGTCTGACCTCTATGGCTAATTAGTGGCTTAGCTCTACACTCGGACATACCTTTCCACACCCCCTTTAGTACAGCTGTGTTCGCTGTTACAAAAGAATTGGGTTCATTTATCGTACTCTGAATTCTGTCCTGGAAGTAATGTCTGACAGCCTGTTTGATACCTCCCCCAGTTTTGGACAGTTTTGACAGATGCTGGTGATGTAGCAAGCACTCCAGCACAGTGAGAGCTGTCCTTCACATTAAGGCTCTCCTGTGCAACCCCCTTTACAGTTAACCATTTAGTTGCCTCCACAGGTTTGTGTATGAATGGAATGATGAAACATCTGTTTTTTTGGTCTGGCTTTGTACTTACCAATATGCACTAAAAAGACTACATTTTTGGCTACACTGTATGTAAGTTAGAGGTCAAGAATATTGTTAAACATCCTACACCATACAGGTTAACCCAACAAAAGGGAATTATCTACCTCAAAATGTCAATAGTGCTAAGGCTGATAAATCTACCATACCAGCATATTTCACGAGGCTTTCCTTATTAAGTTATAATTTTGTTTCTACATACAAATAAAAGGCAGACTTTCAAAATGAAATGGTCAATACAGGAGTAGCTATTTAAGTCATATAAAAAAGTAAGGTAATCATCTCAATAGTCATAAAAAGCCATATAAAAATAAACTAAAAAAGTAAAAACTATACAGATGTACAGAAAAATTTTGAATAAACTACTATGATACAATATTATAAAATCAGCAATTATCCTGAAATATATATGTTTAATAGCAAATATAAAGGGAAGCTCTACTTGTTCTATAGAGGTTTCTAACATTAGAATTACAGACTGTATCTCCATGTTCCCATTTAACATGCCCTGTTCCCTGCAGGCAGGAAATATTTCTAGTAAAACAATAATGAGGGGGAACATGGTCTCACACTAAGATCTAATAATGGAAACAGTGTGGATAATATAGGAGTACCATACAGACCCAATGGTTTACTCTAGATCTGGGTCAAATTCCTTAAGAATCAAAAAATTCAATGACTTGAACTATTTCAAAGCAATAGGCAGTATGTAATCCTCAAGTCAGTTATTCTCCTGAGCAGCAACTGTGTGATTCAAGTAAACCTTGAGAGATTGTAACCATTTTGGATTACCACATTTGCTTACCTCAAACAGGCAGATATTAAAACAGAAGTTAATTTGTCTATTGCATTTCTCTTTCCACAAACAGAAGTTTAAGTTGTCTATTCAGGCTTTATTCTAGATTTATTTATGTGTACGAGTGTTTTGCTCACATCTCTGTCTGTGCACAATGTGTGTGCTTGGTGCCCATGGAGTTTAGAAGAGGGCATCACGTCTTCTGGAACTGGAGTTACAGAGGGCTGGGGTCAGAAACTATTTCAATTATCCCACTCAACAGGCAAAGAAGCTGGGCCCCTCCTGTTCACTCCTACCACCCAATTCAGTGCCTTAAGACTATTCAGGGTGGGGCAGGAAAACTTAATTTCCTGGTATTAATGCATGACCCCTTTTGCAGGAAGTTTCAGAGCCTGGAAGCTTTTACACACAGGCAATTAATTAACATATGATGGCAGACGTGTTGGGCCAGCAAGCATATAAAAGATGATGAATATCACCTGCTATACCCCCTACCTGACACCTCCATCATCTACTGCCAAGAGAATAAAGTGGTAACATACAGTAATGGTTAAAAGCACGGCTCAAAGGTCTTAGTATCTAAACTCAGTCATCTCCCAGTCATGGGCAAGCACTCTGGTCCTGAGCATTCTCTTCTTTATAGAAGAACTTGATAGAGTAAGACTACTGAGTGAGACGCATTTGTATAAGGTCTATCAACAGTAAGTAGCTGCTTTGATTATAAAGAATATTGAGACAGTCCAGTAGACCACTCATGTCAGAATCTAAACTATCTTCTCAGGCTTGTATTCTGAGCACTGGTTTCCAAATTTGTGGTGCTCTCAAGGCTGTGGAGCCTTCAGAAGGAGCCTGGCTAGCAAAGAAGGCCACTAGAGGTGGGAATACGGTGGAGGGTGATAGAGGAAGACGTACACACACATACAGAATTATGACTTGGCCCTGCTTCTGATCCCATCCTCTGCTTCCTGCAACCATAGACTGAGCTGCTCCTGCCACCATTCCTTGCCTGCCACCATGGTGAGACAGTCTGAAATTGTGAACCAAAATAAATTTTTCCTCTTTCAAGCCGCTCCTGCCAGGCACAGTAGCACCGTAAGAAAAGCAAAGCTGTGCAGCCACACACTTCTATGTTCGGCCTCCAGTTCTCTCCTTTAGTCTCATCTCTTAATTCTGTCCTAAGGTGCCCAGTGCCTTCTGTGTTCCTGCCATACTGAACCACGCAGAGTGCTGTTGACATATATGCCCGCTGCATTCTGATGTGCAATTGGAATGATTTCCCTTTGGCCAGTGCTTAACAATTTTGACAGAATATCACTCCTTTATGAAGTCTTTCTAGAATTCTTAAGGCAAAATCAATGTTATCTCTTCAATGTACTATACACGTACTTTCATGGCAGCATGAATCATTCTATTCTGATCATGGAATTCCAGCAGCAGAGGGCTCTGTCTCCATCAAATCCTTCCCCTCAGAGCTCAGGGAACCCTAGGGAAGAGGAGGAGGCAGGAGTAGTGGGGGAGAAAAGGAGGTTGGAGGACATCAGGAGAACAAAGGCCTTCTAAAATAACTGAGCACAGCTCCTAAGAACTTGAAGACCAAAGCAGCAATCACAGGGCCTACACGAGGTTCCCCGCATATACACTAGAGCTTTTAGCTTAGTATTTCTATGGGACCCCTGGATGTCTAAATGGATGGGTCTCGGATTCTTGTGCCTTCTCTTGGGGTTCTTTTACTTTTCTGTTGACTTGTCTTGTCCACCTTTAATGTGATGTTTTTTGTTTTATCTTATTATACTCTACTTTGTTATGTTTGGTTGTTATCTCTTAGAAGCCTCTTCTTTCCTAATGAGAGATAGAAAGGGAGTGGATCCGGATGGGAGTGGAAGTAGGGAGCAACTGGGAGGGGAAACTGTATTCAGATTATATTGTGTAAGAGTCTATATTTATTTATTTATTTTTGGTTTTTCGAGACAGGGTTTCTCTGTGGCTTTGGAGCCTGTCCTGGAACTAGCTCTGTAGACCAGGCTGGTCTCGAACTCACAGAGATCCGCCTGCCTCTGCCTCCCGAGTGCTGGGATTAAAGGCGTGCGCCACCACCGCCCGGCTTAAGAGTCTATATTTAATAAAAGGAAGAAAACACAGAATAAAATTAATGTATATTTTTTAAAAAAGAAACAGATATAGTTGCTTTTTTATAGCTTTTACTGGAAGAAAAAAACTAAATGTACTTGCATGATTGGTCCTTTGGAAACTGTTCATAAGCCAGATTTGGAGAAAAAAGATAAACAAATGTCTCTAAATATTTTGCCCTTCCCCCACACACCATTATCTCTTTTATTGCCTACCAACCTGCCTGAGACATGTATAGTCATTGAAAATAATACAATTATGAGTAGGCAAATTCTGGAGTTTATAGTCTAAATTGGTATATAAAATAGAAATTCACTCTAATCTGCACTGCTTGGATGCCTTATTCATATATTAAGACCTAATCACTAGTGTGATGCTATAAAATGGTCTTTGAGATTAGATGATAAGGGTGGAGCCTCATGGATGGAATTAGTGTCCTTATTAAGAAGAGGCCCCAGTGAGTTGCCTTGTCTCTTTTATTGTGTGAGGACACAGGGAGAAGGCGCCATCTATGTTCCATGAACTGAATCTTCACCAGACAAAATCAAAGCTCTTGGTATCTTAGCCTTCCTGACTCCCCCAGGGCTACAAAGACTAAATTTCCCTGTTTAGGGGTTACTGAGGTGGTGACATTGCATTCTAGCAGACCCTGAAGTAAGACCATGTTACGTTAAGTGCCACGTAAATCTCAACAGGGTTAGGGAATACCTAATAAATGCTCCTCGGTTAAGTAAACACTATTTGGAATTTTACAACATTTTCCCATTAAAACAATGCTAAAACTGACTGCTATGTCTTCAGACAAATTCATAAATCCATGATCTACAAATAGTTGCGCTAGTAACTTATGCATTGCGTCATCCTTTCCTCCTTGACTCACTGAAAAGCACATTTCACTGCATGTATTATGCCAATGAGCGTTACTCAAAGGCCGAGTACCTCGATAACAGACTGACAGACACACCCTTTGGAGGAGAAAGTGGAGTATTGTATAACTGGGATTAGTGTAGAGAAAGGAATGCCAAGAGTATGATTTTGGTCTCATTCTCTAAAACAAAGTGGAAGTCATCTAAACTAAGAGGGGAGAGAGGCCAGGAAATAAGGATGAGAGGATCAGGTTCCAGCCCTCAAGCGAGTGTTTAGATTGGGAGGGGCCCTTGAATCAGGGGAGTGTATATTTACGAGTCAGTATTTCAAAAAGTTTAAAATGTATAATGCTATAAGGACCTTGAGGAGACCATAATTTGTCCTGAGACCACCTGTTGAGGGAGCTGTCTTTCCTCCACTGACATGCAGCAGTCTGGGAGATCACAGTCCCAGCACCTTGCCTTGAACAACGACTTTGAATGCAATTACCACATTTATTTTTACATATTAGGAGTTAGAAACATGGGTTCAGATTATGTTCTATGTCAATGGCATAAAATACAAGCTACATTATTCAAACAGGACCTCAGCAGGTTGCTTAAGGAGAGTCTTGCTTTTATATTTTATACCCATTTTATTCACATTATTTACAATTCACATTTAAATTTTTCTAAAATGTAAAATAACTTAGGGTTTTTTGTTTGTTTGATTGATTTTTTTTTTGCCCACATCATTTCAATTATTCTGGTTTTAAATAAAATACAAGTACATTTTCTTTTAAAAATAAAGACCTGTGTTTTTCTTCAAAGATATGACATTTCTAGTACAGAAGCAAGATTATGTTTCACTCTGAACAAGTCAGAGTACCCCAGAACCAGGGTACCAGTTGGGGTTCTGTTTTGAATAATAATAACCTTGAGACAGCTCAGTGTCCGTGGCTTCAAAGTTTCTTTCATCATAATTATCTGAAGTGTGACAAAGTTGAAAGCAACCTCGATTGTGGTTTCAGGAACAGAATTTCAAATACTGCTCTTTAAAGTTCAGAGCATTGTTTTATTTCTCTACTGGAAGACGGGGATATTAAAACATGCCTAACAGAATTGCTATTTCCTTTTTTTTTTTCCCCATTCCTTTAGGGGGCTTAAGGTATTATCAATTTAGTGATTTGTTTCACGGACATATTTAGTAAATAGAAGCATTTCACCTATGATACTTACATATATTGACTTTAAAAGAAGTTAAAACTAAAAAAATTGGACAGTTTGGAATAGGTGATCATCATAAACCCAAAACGGATGCTAAATCTGCAATTACACTGAAGATCCAATCCACACGAACCTTTGATTGGGAGGAAGCATTCAAGCTCCTCGCCTGCCAATTTCAACATGCAGAATAAAAACAACTCTCCAAGGGGGTTACGGTCCAACCTTCCAGTTAGGCAAGCATTAAGTGTAACTTTTCAAGAAAACATTTCATCCCTCCAAGGGCCAAAAACAAAATCACTGTAGCAAATACGACCAGATAAAAACCTACCCAATCTGCATTCGGGGATTTCGAGTTCACTGCGGCCAACAACTGCTTTCATTTAGATTCGAGAAGGCAGAGTCAAGCGTCCATTGCGCCCTGGAATGAATACCGGGGTAACAAAGCATCGCCAAGGCCCCAGAGTCACCCGCCTCGCACCCCATCCCCGGAGGCTCACCTGAAGACCCTGCTGCTGGAGGCTCTGCGTGATGTAGTCTAGGCGGCGGCACACACTCTTCTTGGCCTCGGCTGCAGCCTCCTTGGTGCTGCTCACCCGCACGGCCACCTGCGCCCGGTCGGGGCTGGCGGACACCTCGGCTGCGCCGCTCACGTGGACCTCGCGGGCTCCGGGGTGGGCCTTGGCGGCGTGGGGACGGCTGCCGACGGGCTGCGCCTCCAAGGCCGGGATCGGGTTGTTTTCCCGGCCCAGGTTAGCCCAGGGAACCAGTTCCATGAACACCCGCGACGGAGGGGCGGGCTGCAGCGCCATAGCTGGGGTGGCTGCGTTGCCATAGCAATGCCCGGCTGCAGGCGGGGAGTGACGCCCTGCTCCCGCGCGTGGCTCGGCGGCAGCGTGGCGCAGAGGATGCCGGGATGGAGCTGGCGGAGCCGCGGAGTGGCCACGGCTCGCCCGCTCCGAGTAGGCTGATTCCGTCGGTGCAGGTCGGAAAGTTAACTCGTGGCCTCCCTGCCAGTGAGCGCGGCCCTTCCACGTGACCTTGTCACCCCCCACCCCACCCCCAAGTCATCAAGGGGACGGGTCCTCCATTTCCGGAGTGTGTGTGGTCCCCCCCCCCCCCCCCCCAGCCCTGTCTTCCTGGGTGTTACGGTGTAGGTCGGTCCCTTAGTTTGTCAGGCTCTCGTCGTCTTTCCCCCCAAGTACCTGTTTTGATGCGATTCGTGTGGATTTTCTCCTGAGATGAACCACGTTTTGCCGGTGAGAGTTTGGACAGTATGTGGTCCTTCGAGTCAGGTTTTCCAAAACTTTGTTAATATATATATTTTTTTCTCAACTGCTGTTTGCTAACTAGAGGCTCGTTGTCTATAGACCGCTGCCATATGTGTTAGGAATATTTCCTAACGCGAGCTCTATGCCGACGCAAAATTCCCGCTCCTAACTTAAGAATGTGGAAAACCGAAAATAAGGAAGGGATGGCTGTTTGTCTTAGCAACCGTCTTTGGAATGGTTGTCAAGTCTCAGAATTCTAAAATCCTTGGAGACATGATGGGCTTGAGCTTGGACATTCGCGTGGGTAAGGACAGGCATGCCTTGAACTTGTCTCCCCTTTTTGGAGACAGGGCCTTAGTATATAAACCTGCCTGGCCTGGAACTTACCGTATTTACCAGACTGACCTCGAACAAGGTTTCTACCCATTTCTTGACAGAGCCTTTTAATGAAAAGCTGAAGTTTCCCTGTCTCAAGACCTCCCATTATAGTAATTTTCCCTACCCCACCGTCTCTCCCTCTCCCTGTCCCTTTTCTTTCTGTCCCTGTACCTCTCCAGTTTCTTTTGCGTTTTTTCTCTTTTCACCCTCCCCCCACCTCCCCTTGTCCTTTTCTACCTTTGGAGTGCAGGATGGTTCAAAACCATCACACTGGGCATTTTCTTAATCATCCAGCTGTGGTCTTTGTGAAGACAGCTGATAGTTTACTATTAGAATTCTATCACCAGACGGGGAGGAGAAATTTTGAAAAAAAAAAAAAAACTGTAGGAAGTAGTTTCTTCTTCTTCTTCTTCTTCTTCTTCTTCTTCTTCTTCTTCTTCTTCTTCTCCTCCTCCTCCTCCTCCTCCTCCTCCTCCTCCTCCTCCTCCTTCTCCTCCTCTTCCTCCTCTTCCTCTTCTTCTTTTTGGATTTTTCGAGACAGGGTTTCTCCGTAGCTTTTGGTTCCTGTCCTGGAACTAGCTCTTGTAGACCAGGCTGGCCTCTAACTTATAGAGATCCACTTGCCTCTGCCTCCCGAGTGCTGGGATTAAAGGAATGCGCCACCACTGCCAGACTGTGGAAGTAGTTTCTTATAGGAACCTGAAAGAGTCAACAAAGTTCGTGATTTTAAAGCACAGTTCAATAACTCGGCTAGATTCGGTGGTTAACAATTAGGTTAGCGTAATTGTTTAGTTTGATGTTCGTTGTCAGATGAGAATCTATATGATAATTTTAAAACTTTCTGTCATATGCATATATGCATATTTTACAACTCTAGACAACTAAAATATATCTTAGAGCTGGAGGAATTTCTTTTTTTTTTTTTTTATCTTTTTGGTGGACCCCAGGGACTGAATGGAAGGTCCTCAGGCTTGAAATCAAGTGCCTGAATGAATGAATGATGCCACAGGCCAGAAAAGCAAAGAAAAATAGTTTTAAGTGTATAGAGTACTATAAACTTTTCAGATTGGTAGGGAAAGAATGAGGTTGAATTGGCTAGCTGTTTGAAGAAACTGATCTCAATATTATATGACACCCTGAAAATAACATTAATAAGAATATGAAGAAATATGTACCTAAAAGTAATTTTGGGGAATGAAAGGCCTTTTCCCTTATGCATATTTCAAATGATGAAGCAACCATAAAGGAAAAGCCTGGGTGGGGGGAGAATGAGTACACCAAAAAATTGAAAGTATGTAAACTGAAAACTAGCAAGGAGAGGGGAAGTACGTATTGGTGATGTATAAAGGAGCTAGTGTCTAGATATTTAGAGTACAGTCTCCTCCCCTCCAAAAAAACCCAAATAGATAAGGAACACAGAGATAAACTGTTAATAGGCTTGGACTGATTGGCTGGAAGTTCAAGATCAAGGCATCAGTAGGTTTAACCTCTTCTGAGGTATTTCTGGTTTGTGACAGCTGCCTTCATAGGACATTGCTTCTGTGCCCTCGCATACCATCCTTAGGACGCATCCTCTTCTTCCAAGATCAATCCTATTACACGGATTAGAGACCTGCTTTGGGGACTTGAGTTAACCTCAGTTAAAGGGCTCTGTCTTCATACAGTCACGTTGGGCTTAGAGAGCACATGCCAGTTCCTGTAGATCCAAAGTACCAAATGACTAACGGCCTGTAACACTGAAAAGAAAAAATAAATAGTTTAAAAAATTAATTGGCAATTAAAGAAATGAAAACTTAAACAGATGGAGCGATCTCTTTCAAACTGTCATTTTGGGAAGTGATGAATTCAGAATGCAGAAAAATAGATAAAAGTAATTTTGAAAGAAGGGCAGATTATTTCTTAGTGACAGAACTATGCAATAAATAAACATAGATATGTCTTGATGATTTATGAGTTTTTCAGAGGAGAATGGATGGGAATGAATACATCTATTTGTTCAGTTTCTTCCTCAGAGTTGAGACTCAGTTATTAGCAACCATTTTGAACAAGGTTGGTACCACGTTGATTGAATAAAAAATATGCATCTGATTATTTTTCTTGTTCTGGGAGAAGAGACATGGAATTAGAGCAAAATCTGCATCATTCGGTTGTGAGAGATGCATCAGTATTATGCACCATCATTGTACATTATCAGAGATGCACATTTTTTTTATGAAAGTAGCACTGATCTGGAGATAGCAGGACTTTTGAACCTTTTCTGCAACTTCAATTTCCATGGTACTTTCCATATAGAAAGCTCTTTCTGGGAGTCACTGATTCGATGATCAATTTCTAACCAATTATATGTGATTTTCGATGGTATTAATCCTGTCAGCTAACTGTTCATTATTAGTCTGTAAAGACTGTATCATTCCTAAAAGTGACATATTCTTTCTTAATGATAGAATGTGGAAAAGAAAACTGAGTCCCAATACCCAATAAATTGAAGTATCACCATAACTATATAAGCCTTGCACAATATAATCCATAGTATTAGCAAAAAAGTTACTAAAAGTTTCAATATTAATGTAGTCTGCCATATTGATTTATTAATTACCTGTTATGTGATCTGGTAAACTGCAGTCTTTATTGTCCAGCAGATGTCATGGTTACAGAGTTCTGCCTAGAAGCAGTGCAACCAGTGTCCACAGGAATGGTTCTGGGCCGCTTTAGTTTCCAAGCTGCTTTAGTTTTCTGCCTTGGTACTGGTAAAATACTGAGAAATATGCTTTGCTTAACAAATTAAAAGCAGTTAAATCAATTCCATTCACGGAGCAAGAAAACCAGAACTCACGGGCAAGGAGCAGAAACCGGAAGCTTCACAAGCCACCACGCGGCAGGGAACCATGCCAGGGAAAGCATGTGCTTGGGAAATTTCCAAGTTGCCACACACAGTAAACTCCACTATGGCGGGAGTTCTACAAAAAACCGCTTAGGTAAAAGCAAGCCAAGTGGGCAGGGTTGGGAGAATGTCTGGGCCGTGGACCTGCTAGGCCATTAGGCCGTCCACCCGGTAGGTGTGGAGTTCGAATTCACATGGGCGCCAAATGTGGAAGGATGCTTGAAAGAAATCCCACACTAGCTCAGAATTGAGAAATAGACAGCTTTTATTTAGGGGTAGACTCACAAATCAGAATCCTCTGCTGAAATGGAGATCAGAAACTGAATCCCGCAGCTAGAAAAGAGAGGCCGGACGCATGCTCTACATCGGCATACATAGTATAAGAGGCCACAGCCCAGTAGGCAGGTAACCACTGGCTGTAAGACTTCCTACAGCAATTATGTTCTGAGAATTCATAAATTTATAGTAAAGATCTTTTTTTCCAGTGTAATATTTTTATTAATTATTTGGATTATTTGGAAATTTTACTCAATGTACCCTGGTCACATTTGATTCCCATTCCTCTCAGGTTCACCTCCTACCTTTGTGCAGCCCCCCTCCAAAAAAAAAACCCATGAACACTAAGTCCAATTTGTGTTACCCATATTTTTACTGGAGCATGGTAAAACTCCTAGTGGCCAGCCCCTTAAAGATAACTGAGACCGTCCCCTTGCCCATACCAGAAACTACCAACTGAACTGTGAAGAAGTACGCTTCAGCATCCTGTCACCATTTTTAAGGACTCTTTAATGGCTTCCTGTGTAGACTGTTTCTATTGGGGAGAGGAGAGTATTGTCATAGAAGCCCTCAGTGTCTTAAATTCTCAACCATGAGTTTTCAGTAATTGCTATACTGCAAAAGAAGCTTCCTTGCCCATAAGCCCATATCAGCCAAGCGCAGCGCAGAACACAGACTTCAACATGACCCCCAGGGGCAGCATGGAAGGATTATGGACACCAACACACAACCACATGGCCTCTGGCATTAATGCAAACCAAGGACACCAACACGGCCTCTAGAGGCAATGTGGACTGTGGAGGTTTTTCGAGGAGGCCCAGTCCAGGAAATGAACCATTTTCCATCTCAGACCTCCTGCCATTGCTCAGAGCATGGTTATTGTGCAGCCACAAGGCATGTTCAGGGGCAGAGCTCCAGGTAGCTGCACACCACCGTGCCTGCACTACTCAGCACTGACATTGTCTCTTCATCCACTGCAGTTAAGCTTTACAGCTCCTGTCTCCACTGCCAAGTCTCTAGTCTTACCTGTCTCTGCCATATGCATGGCACTTAGTTATGCCATGCGTCCTACCTCTCCGTCTCTCATTTATCTCACATTTATTCATTATTCACACCAGAGCAAGCAGGTTTTGGCTCCATACTGTGAGCTAGGTCATTCTGTGCGGGCTCCCTTTCCTGCCAGCCGGCCGAGGACCTGCCCTACTTAACAGCATCA